TATGTATAATTTTACAATTATACATATATGTATAAGTTTATATGTGTATGTACATTATGTATAGAATATATATATATATATATATATATGTATGTATGTATGTATGTATGTATGTATGCATGGTTGTATGTATGTATGTATGTATGTATGTATGTATGTATGTATGTATGTATGTATGGAAAGCGCATGTGTGTGTGTGCGCACGGGTGTGGGTTTCGCGCGTGTCTCTATGTTGTACGCTGGACAATGACAAGACCCCCCGGTCTACCGCACGCACGCAACGGCAATGTAAGCTCCTTACGGATAATTATTGCCAGCTTCCCCTACATTCTCTCGCATGGTTGGCAATGCCCGGCGGGGGTGTGGTGTACTATGCCGCTCCTGCGGTCCGATCTTTCTGATCTTTTCTGTCTTCACCACACTACAGGCTGTCAGACTGCCTGTGGCCCGTTCGCTGCACATGGTCTCGGACTGATGAAAAGAAATTTCACACCATGTGTTGAGGATGCACAGGTTTCTTCGCCACGCCCCGGGCACAAACATCAATTGTTCGGGCCGAGGCTCGGGCGGACGGGTGGCAGAGAGCAAATGTTAAACCATCTAATGGGATGGATGCTGGCAGCACGTGGGAGTTTCTTTAGGGCTGCCAAAAGGAGTTGGATAAAGTCATGAATGCAAGTATCCTACCATCTGTCAGGGTCCCTTCTTGCTTGAAGCTCCCGTGTACTTTCGCGGCAAAGCCCCTCGTGGCTTGACACGAGCAAGGTCTCGAAAAAGCATTGAGCGCTAGAGACATGCGTGACTGTTGAGTATACTTAGAGGTCTATAGGGTGCATTTGCGGGATTCCTGAGGTGAATTGCTACAACAGCGCCTTGCAGAAGCATATTTGTGTGAAAGACTATCGACCATTCGTGCCATACGTAGTTCTGGAGCTGTCTCCCAACCTCCGTGTGTATCCACCGGGCGCATGTAGCTCTGCAGGCCCCCTGAAGCCAGAACCTCGAACCGTAGACCTTGCATGAAAGCCTGAACGGCAAGACGCACCAACACCCCGACCCAAAGCCACTTTGGCGTGACCAGGCCCCCTTTCAGAAGCTGCACAGTTCCATGCAAAGTCCGGTATCAAAGCTGGCCGCGGGGGCTTGCATCCGGCTTAAGGCTCCGTTTCAAGCTCCTCAGGGCAGGGAAGGGCGACCTTACCTGGCACGATTGCAAGAGGCCCGAATCCCCAAAACCTGAGCGCTAGACCCTACGCCCTCTACAACGCTGGTAATGCCTCCGAATGTCTTTCAGAGCCCCTGCTGTAGCGCTTTTGAGGCTCAAAGCATATCTCAGCGACTGCAAGCAGAGCTATGGGTTGCCAAGGGAGCAAAGCGCAGTTGCCCTCGCACCCGGAGGTGCCAGGGAACTGAGGTGTAGAGTTACGGCCTATGTATAACTTACAAGGCTTAAGGGTTTAGGGTTCGAGGGTTCAAAGGTACAGCAGTCAGGATTGTAATTGCAGGTTAAAGTCGGCGTTTTGGGTTTAGGAAAGTTGAGGGTTCATGGTCTAGGGTGGAGCCTGCGATTCACGAGGCCACTTCACATCGCCATGTATTATTTAGTATCACCCCACTCCCCCCATTCCTTTTCATTTATTGTTTTTGTAAGGCCCCCTTGACGTCCCCTGACACCCTCTGGTCTCTGAGACTGTGTAGGATTTCATAGGAGTTGACGATTTCGGAATCAGGGTTTAAGATTTGGGCCCTACACTGGTAGAGAGGGTTCAAGGGTTTCGGGTTCGGGTTCGGGGGTAAGGGCTTTCGGGCTTGGGGTTTAGACGTTTCTTGGGAGTTATTTTTTTTTGGCTTCGGCTCGGGCTTCAGGGTTTCAAGTGTAGGGCTTAGGGTATTTAGGAGTTAGTACAGTTTATATAGGGTTACAGGGCTCACGGTTTAGGCTTCAAGGGATTTAGGGTAAGCTGTGGCCTCTCCATGAAACCCGGGAGAGTTGAAACACACGTAAGCCTTCAACTTGGGAACTTGCTGGTTCCTTGCTGGGGTAGGGCGCTCGGTTCTGGTTCAGGCATCCGAAGAGGGATCTTCAGAAAGTGAACCAAACATGGAGGCCTGAAGCATGCTATGCTGCTAAAGGAGAAGCCAGAAAGTTGGAACATCGTTGTCCTCATGCCCTGAAGGTAAAATGTAGGGAATCCTAGCGCAAAGCATGCTAAATCCACGTTCCAAATTTCCAGGGTTGATGATAAGCCCCTGCAATTTCCACACTGAGATTCCTCAGTGGATTTGGCCTCCGAGCGAACACGGTTACTGCTCATGGAAAGCTGGATCATGTTCCGGTATCCTATCCTGAGATTCCTTGCAAAGGTTGTTGCCTCATGGGGGTGAGTATGAGCAGGAAGATTATTATATACATATAAGTATGTAAGTATGTATTTACATATTATATACGTTACATTACATAAGGTAAAAAAGTATACTGTATATTGTATTTTAAATCAGTATTTTGCTTTTTTATGACTGTGATGACCAACAATGACGCTGTTTCCTTGTTGACTTGGAAATTGGCCGGGTGCTGCGTCGATCCTCGAGAAGTCAACAAAGCGGAGGGCGCCGGACTACTTTATACCCTAAACCCTAAACCCTATAACCTACAAAAGTGGGGATGTCGAATGTCAAAGCCTGAGGCTCTCGAGCACAAGCGCCTGAGAGTTCTTGCGAAACTGTAATTAAGCTTAGGTTCAAGCCACAAACATGCATGCATGAAAAGGTACCGGCAGTTCCATGAGTCTCCATGGGTGCGACTGGGTATGTCAAGCATGTCACAAGAGCAGGCTTCTGCTGTCAGGACTGGTACTGGTTGCAAGATGCATGCGATGTTTGCGTGGGAGCCCTAAGCAACGACCAAGTTAAATCCCTAGAGCCCATCAGCCCCGAATGGGGATCCTTTCCACAGGTTCCTCCTCCTCCCGCTGTTTGGAAAGACCACGTCGTGTCCGAGGTTCCTACGGAGGAGGCAGCTCCGTTGCGTTTAGGCCTGTCCCAAGAATCTGCTCAGTTGGAGTGATTAGTTTGGAGTAGTGTTTTTGTGTAACGGCCATTGAAGACCGATCGTTGAATGAGCAGACTGTTCTTCAAGATTGGCAGTCTGCTGGACTGCTGGTCAGGTTTCGCGTTGTTCGTGAATTGTGCATGCGGAAGGTGCGTCCTAACTAGCAGTTGCTTCCAGTGCAGACTCGGCAGATCCGGACAGATCAGCATTGCAAATACGCGCTCCTGGCTCCAGTTCTCGCCAACTGTGTGACCTGTGTCTGAAAATAGACAGTCTTTGCACACCTACTCCGAGCAGCTCTCACACAAAGCATCCGAGGCGGCAGGATCCGCGGAGGTTACAACTGTCGAGGAGAGAGCACGGCAGTGGCACAGACATAAAACAGAGGGAGATTTGAAAGAGGGAGGGGGTGGTGTTGGCCTGGTTGATTCTGTGAAGGTTATCGGAGCCAGGGCGTAGATATGAAGATTTTGGGGCTTCACATGCAGCTTGCAGTTGAGGGCCTCGCACAGTCAATCTTTGAAAAGCTACACCGGATGTAGACTTGCGCGGTTAGACAGCGAGCCGGGCAGCTCAATGTAGCTCCACCCTAGGCCCTAACCTGGAGACCCCTTGAAAATTGTAGGAAGCACCCTTCCGGGGCCGTCCTGAACCCAAGCCTCTCACCGCCTCCGACTGGTGCAAGACTTGGCCTGCAACCGTGCTATCGCTGTCGCCTGCGTGCTTCTCAAGGGCCCGACAACCTTGAACAGCCCAAGTCCTGAAAAGGCATCAGTCCTTCTTGATACATCTGTGAGCGATCTATGCAGACTCTCCACACGTTGATGTAACGACTTCCTGCGGATGCCCTCAAACCCTGAACCCTAAACCCATCAACCCTAGAGCACGACTGAGCCACAAACTTTACCCCGGCTCGGCAGGACGCTTTCGAGATCGAGGCTTCACTGCCTCTCGAGCACTTGGCGGCACCTTCGCCGCAGGCGGCCACCCTGTGCTGTGTCTTGTTGTGCTGCTTGTGTTCCTCGCAAGAAAACAGCAAACTTGCGCTCGTATTCGTATTTTGTGTAAAATAAATGCACATGGTCATTCTTACTATTAGTACTATGTCCACAGTATGAGAGCTGTCGATGTTGTGGTGAACTGTCCCGTTGCCGTGTCCAGGACATGTGCTGACACAGCTGTTGCTCCGATTGCTACGATACCCGTAGAGAGGATTGTTGTTGTCATTCTTGGCTTCCGTTGGTACAGCCATGAGTTACCATTCCTTCTGTTTTACCGCTCTGCCTTTTGATTAAGGGTAGTTCTGTTCTGGCAAATATAGTGGTATATGCCATCCCTTTTTGCTGTATGATTTCGATGATATCTGTGGTAAGTGCCATAATTCCTAACCCTTCAATCCTGTTTGGTTGGGTTGCAGCTTTCGGCTGCGGGACCCGGGTTCCAACGCTTGGCAACTGTTTCCAATAGTCAGCACAACAGTCACACAAAAACTGCAAGCCCACATCGAAGCCCTGTCGGAACGCAGGTTCTTGCTGACCCCTCTGTAGACCTTTACTATGTATTAAACATTTGATTTCTTGAGGAGCTGCCGGGCCACGCGTGATTAATGACAACTGAAGATGTGTTGGTGTACCTTTGGACAGCATTTCTCATGCTCAAAACATGGTGGCGGCTCGAAAATGGCGATTGCTCATCATTTAGAAAGTACGTGCATCAGCGTCGCTCGTATGCATGTCCGATGCAGCCTGCACCGCAGCATCAGCAAGAAAACTCTTGCATTCTGAACATGCCAAACCACTAAAGCCAGTGTCATTGTCAGCTCTCGACATTCAAACGACTGTGATCTAATTCCTACGGTCCCTCATGTCTGTATACGTTTGATTTGATTGTTACCGTTTGCGACTATACTTGTGAAAAATGTCGTGATGGTTGTGACCATAGTTTTTTGTCGCTCTGAGATCGACACGCCCTATGCAGCGCCGAAGTTCGTTCTCTTCCGATGCTGCCCCGCAGGTAGGGCCGGAATTAGAAATTTGCGGTGAGAATCGGCCAAAGATGCTCGAACTTTACATACATTGGGCTTTTGCGTGGCAGACTCAGGGTTGAGGCTGGTTTGGTTGCAGGTCAGAGATCATTGCTTGAGAAGGTTGGTAGGTTCTGCTTCAGAGGAACCATAAGACAGGCTGGCTCTAGCAAAGGTCCGGGGTTCAAACAGGAAGTAGCACACTCCTCATAGCTTATCTATGCTTGTCTCTATAAACGTACACATATACATGTATGCAATCACGGGCATGCATGCATGCATGCCGATACATGTAGTTGTTGGCTTTGCCTTCCCCCTCCCCGACCCCCCCAATCCCAATGGTGTCCCCCTATGGCAATTCCCACGCCCCGCCCGTGAAGCCTCAACCCTGCAACAAAGCCTTCTACAGGGGACGGGGAGGGGAGGGGAGCGGTCGGGCAACGAAACCTCGAACAAAACCGCCGCGCCGTTCCACAGACCACGGAGGGGGAGCATGCCGGGGCGGAACCATGTTCGCATGCGCGCACATGCAGGCATAGATGTATTCATGCATGCTTATACACTTGTACTCATTTACATCAAGTGCATACGAACATGATCTAACATCGCCCTACATGCAACGTTACAGAAGCAGATGTATGCATAGTTATTTACTTGCGAGTACACATTCATGTGTGCATGTCTACTTACCTGCGTGTGTACACTGCTGCCATGTAGCGAACCTGGACACAACAAATATGCGCGCACGCCTTTGCAGACTTATGCATACATTTGTTTGCCTTCTGGGTAAGGCTAAACACATCATCAGGCAGCGTGGAAGGCATAAGAACCTCGCTTGTAAAGCCAAGGCGAACAATCTTGAATGACCGCTTCGATGATTGTGGAGATTCCGTTTGTGACCTTGCAGTGCTGTCGTCTTTCTCTGCCCTAGACTTTAGAGCTAGAGTGACAGCGAGTTTCAATAATTTGGGGGCAGCAGCTTTAGAGTCAGAATGTAGACCTCTGAGCACCAAACCCTTGTCTATTATACATAGGGGGAAGGATCAACTAATATTGAGGACGTTAAATCAGGGGTGTTTCTTAAAAGCCAGGTGTTTGCATTATGGTTCTCTAGGTGTGTAAGATAGCTAAGAAGCCAGGCAGTCAGTGTTGAGGTTCTGTTTGCGATTGCCCCTCGGGTCGCAGTTGTTTTCATAGCTCCCTCCCAGCGTTTGCCTACCATCAGCTGGCGGGGTTGGCAGGCTGCTGCACAGAAGTCGAGCTCTGAACGTTGTCTAGCCTTTCGGGTTGAGGTTGACTGGTACTTGTATGAGCCGTTTAAACTACAAAGCTTTGTTTATTAGGCCCACCAATATCAACAGGGTAGGTTCAGACGAAGGTTCTCTACTAAAGGTCAGCGGTTTAGGAGACTTGCGTGGATCGTGGCAGGGCTTCGTAGGTATATAGGTACTCGGTTCGTCTCTATCTACATGTACTATGACCGGCTCTATCCGCAACCTTACTTGGAACTTCGTTACATGGTTGTTCGGGGAAATTGAATAGCTCGCAACCTGCAGAAGTGCACAGCAAAAGCACAAGTACAAGAAGATGCTTGGCTTTTCCTTGAAAGGGCCTCCCCTCACATGATGGTGCTATGCTCCTTTGCAGGGGGACCCTTCTAGGTGCACCTAATTATTTAATTCACATCGCTACTGACTCTGCTGCTTGTCCGGGTCCGACCGGAGTGCCTTGTGGTGACGACACGTCGGTGTTCTGAAGGAGCAGTTCTTTCAACTGCCTGCAAAAATCGAAACCCCCTGATGCTTAACCACGCGTTCAGAGAGCCTGAGCCTCCTTCACAGTAGCGAGCAGGCGTGAAATGCTAATTCGATTGGGTCCGCTGCAGATCAGACTTACGACTGTGCAGAAAGGAGCTGACATTGGGATGTATACGGTTTAAGGCTTGCTGACAAAGTACTGCGCAAGCTGGTTTTGATGGGTAATGATGGGTACATCTGGCTAGAGCTTTGTTGATTTGGGAGAAGCTGGTCGGAACAGCTCGAAGGTGGTTCAAGCTGGCAGAGGGCACCAAAGGCGATATTGAAGCGATATCAGCCAAGTACCACGGCAACTTTCAGGAATGCTGGCCCGCAATCCCTCACCCGCCCTCCAGAACTGACCCGTTGGACCAGTTATAAGCCGAGAACTCATAAGTGTTTATATTCAGACAGGGGCGCAGCATGTGTAAGCATGCACGAGCTTTGTGCAAGTAGAATCATGTGTCATAAGCTGACTAGGGGAGAAGGACATTATTGTAGATAGACTTCTGAATGAATGAATGAGTTCTCGAAGGAATCAGTTCATTATAGCTGTGAACAGGTTAATTTTACAATGCTACGTAGTCTAGGCCACAAACTATAAACAGTTTAGTACTCAATTAACTTACCCCACTAAGCGCTAGCTGCTATTTAATGATTTCGTTTGGTCGTCCATGTATCTCTAGTGCGCACAGAGGCGCACCCCCCACCCCCTCCCCCACCCTCCCCCCACCCACACACACACAGACATACTGCCTCATAGATAGATAGATAGATAGATAGATAGATAGATAGATAAATAGCTACATAGATAGGTAAGGAGGTAGGCAGGTAGATAGATATGTGTCTCGTGACAGGCCGGTGCTGACATCTGGGAAGATGGCAGAATACGGGCCGAGCTCGTGGCCAGCGGAAAGCCTCTTTGTCCTGCAATGGGAGTTGTGTTTTCTTTTGTGGTGTCAATGTGTTTTGGTGCTTCTGCTTGAGAGGCTTTGCTTCGTGTTGGGGTGGATTCCTGAGGATCAGGAACAGAATGCCCAATAGATGGTATGCACGGGGTGTCAAGGGGTGTGCCTTCCGAGCAGGCAGGGCGTGAGGCACGACGAGCGACACATATTCATCAACACGTGGCAAGACTGCCGGCATTTTCTCAGGTTCAAGAGACAGACAGTGCGAAAGCTAGGGCCAGTCACTGGAAAGATGAAAAATCTAAGCCCTTAAATCTCACAATAAAACTACGTACATCCTTATACCCGCAGGCCCCAAATCTTAAAGTCCTCCAAACTGCCAGGTGCCTTGCCGTGACCCGTTTGCGCAGCCTCTATGCCGAAGCTTTGGCTGGACTGGCGGAATGCTGCTTGAAAGGCCAGGGATTTGAATTTCTTTGGAGAAGGTGTTAGGGTCATAGGAGTGCTGCCCGAACAGTGTGGTGCAGGGTGCGGGGTTGTTACCTGCTGCAAGCAGAGTTGGATATACTGTTCCCACGACGGGAGCTTCCGCGAGATGCAGCTGCCGCGGTGGCGCGGTGCATCGTTTGTGGTTTATATCGGATCCGCTGGAGAATTGGAGACCATCCTGCTGGTATTTGGGGGAAGCATTGTGGTCGTGCTCCTGAATCCCGAGACCGCTTTGGGCAAAGCATTTCGGCGGTGTCTTACGGGGGTCTCAAGGCGGTCTCTGCGTGATCTCCTGGGTTTCCTGGTCTCCTCATGGTTTGTTACTGGTCTTTGGGTGTCTCGTGGTGCTCGCCTGGTATTTTCTTGCTGGTCCCTCCTTCGACTGGTTATCGCGGTCGTCCTGGCTGTCATGATCGTCGAAGGTCGCGGTGGTCCTAGTGGTCGTTTGGTAGTCGCGGTGTTCCTTCACTGTTGGATCATCTACTCTGACATGATAAGGTTTAGTCTTGAGAGTCTCGGGTCAGAGGTTTAAGCTCAGGGAACGGATACCGCCCAGCTGAACTCATGCTCGCTTCCCTTGGGCGATTTCCTGGGCGTTCTTGGATGATATTCAAAACATTGTCGGTAGTGCCCTTTGAGGACTCAGAACGCCCATAAGTCAGACGCAAACACTCTCGCAAGTAGGACACACAGCAGAAACTCAACGTAACAAAGCAGAACCGTCCGTCGGAGCAACTTGTGGCATGAAGCAGACTTCGTCTTGGCGTGGCCGTTCGTTTCGAAAGCCGTTGTGGCGACGGTGCTCCCCCGAACGCAGCCAAACCGGCCCTACACCCCCAATGCCTTGACAAACCTGAAACACCGTGTTCTGGCGCGAGGGCAAACACCCGCTAAAGCGCAAGAAGCCTTGGAGTTGGCAGAGCGGGCAATCGGCAAGGAGCCGTCAAGTTTGTGGAGTGTTCTTCTGGCCCTTGAGTTCCGAGCGTCGGGTTCGAGAGCACGCCAGCCTTCAAGGAATATTTGATGTCCGTCTGGAGGGAAACCCTGGAGGAGCAAACCCTTGTGTAGTGATGAAGTGAGGTTTCTGCTCGGTGAGAGAGAGAGAGAGAGAGAGTGAAGTTGAGTCGCTGTGGTTGTTGTAAATACACAGCCGTGCAGCAAACGAGTAGCAGTGGTTGCTGTTAGTACGGGTAGTGGTGATGGGACTAGAAGTGGGCGTAGCACTAGCACTAGCACTAGAACTAGCACTAGC